TTTTTTCTTTTAATTTTATGAAACAATCTTATGATGAAAAAAGCCATTTATAACTCTTTTCTGAACAGAGACAATCTCAGGAAATTTCTGACATTCATCCATTGACCTCAGAGGAAATGGAAAATACAGGTCAACCAAATAAAACGCATCAGGACGGAAGGACAGCAAAGCTTGTTCTGCTTCCACCGCTCTGACACTGGCTGCGTGTCCTTCTCCTCCCACTAAAAGAATATTTTATCCTCAACCACAGGAAAGATAAGACATCAAGTATGTGCAACTTGTCAAGGATTATTCAACAAAATAGGGGTGGTCTCCACACAAGGTTAAGCTCTACTCACTAAAGCTAAGGCAAAGACACCCTATGCAATAGGCTCATTCAAAGACAGTGGTTCATGGACACATATAACAGCTCTAATGGAATGAGTTAGAGCAGGGGTTGGTAAACCACCATATGTAGGCCAAATTCAACCCAATGCCTGTGTCTGTAAATAAAGTTTTACTAGGACAAAACCATGCCCATTCGTTTATGTGTAGTTTACAGCTGCTTGTGGGCTGCAACTGTAGAACTGAAAGAACCCATCTGAACAGTTTAATAGAGTTTTGTTCTATTTCTTAAGAATTAGAGTACTAGTTCCTATTTGTATTCAAAGTATTTCACTTGAGAAGATTTGTATAAACTGCATTGATAACCTTTGATTTAAGTTTATGTTATTCACAGAAAAAGTTCAATGGCTTTGTTTAGGGCTCAAATTAACATAGTTTCTCTGCCTTCAGGCACATAGATGGTTGCAGTCCTTGAAAAGAACATTTTTTACAAACATGGAACAAAGTGGGCAGCTGAAATGGAATGTTTATTGCTCTGAAAGATGTCTTCTATCTATATTTCACTTCTATTTATCTTTCTCTCTATATCTCACTTTCTATCTATATTTCGTTTAGGTAATCTTATTTTCACTAAATGTCAATATCATTTGTTGGTACCTCACTTTTCTCATAAACAGAAGTATGCTCTCTTCGAAGTTCTTTCAGAGATACTTCTTAAAAACTAAGCATTTGAAAAGAAACACTGTCCCCCAAATAGTAATGTACTTTATGAGTCAGTCTTTTGAAGCATAATAATGCACCTTACAAATAACTTTGTATGACTTGAGAATTGAAATCCAGAATTCCAACTCTCTTGTAGAAGTTTGATCATATATGACCCTTTCATTTCACTTTTTAAAAGCTTCTACTACAGAAATTTTCAAACATATGCAAAAAATAGAGAATAGTCTCCAGTAATCAGCCTCCAGAAGTATCAACATTCTGCTATTTTTTTCCACTGATTCCTCTTTCAGACCTTTTGTTAGTTTATTCTTTGTTGCAGTATTTGAAAGCAGACCTCATGCATCAAATCATTTCATTTATGAATGTTTGTGTTAGTCTTTTTCCTTTGAAAAAAGGAACACCATTATTACATTTAGCAAAATTAATAATTCTTATCTAATACTCAGTCCCAGTACAATGTTCCCTAACTGTCCCAATAATGTCTTTTTAGAGTTGATTTGTTCAACTAAAGACCCAGATATGATCTCATATTGTATTTTGTGGATAGGTCTCATTGGTCTTATTATATCTGCAGTAGATTCCTCTCACTTTCTGTTCACCCATCACTAGAATACATTTAAATTCTAATTAGTCAAGCAAACCTTACCAACAGTAATGTTTCTCTAGCTTCCATCTGTTGTAAGTAAACCCAGGCACTCACAGACCTTGCGACCCTTAGGCAGACTCTGAGCTCCACTTTCCATATACAATTCTGTATGAAAGCCAAAATGCCAAGCTACCCCCCATACTTTCTGCTCTCAAGAGAAGGAATTTAGATCGGTTTAGCAGGCCAATTCTTTAAAATTAAATCTTTTATGTGCTGTGATGGCCTGAAGACTCTGAATGATTTAAAAAAACAAGGTGCTCATTTGTTACAGCTTCTTTCTGAAATTAGCCAAACTTAATCAAGAATCACAAAGTAAATCAGACAAGCGTAGGAATCCATTTTCGTTAACAGTAACCATATTAACTGAGCACCTAGATCATGCAGGACATTGAATAATAAAAAGAATGACCTGTGTCCCTGCCCAAAGGGACTTGCAGTCTAAATCAAGAAGCACTGCATGATTTAGACAAAAATGTGCAAGGAGACAACAGACAGTACTACTCAAACTGACATCCATGTCCCAAACACTATGCTAAGAATATTTGTAGCCAACTATTGTGGTACACATCTGCAGTCCCAGCTACTCAGAAGGCTGAAGCAGGGGCCAGAGTGGTGGTGGTAGGGATATAAGTTCTGGAGTTTGAGAGGCAACACAGCCTAGGCAACACAGTAACACCTCATCTCAAAAATAAACAGAACACAACAGAACAGAACAGAAGGGTGGGGCACACACCTATCACTCCAGCACTCTATAATCCCAGCACTCCTGATGCTGAGGCAGAAGGATCACCGGGAGTTCGAGGCCAGCCTGGGCTGCATACCATCCAAGGCCAATCTGAACTACACAGTAAGACTCTGTCTCAAAACACTACCCCACAAAAAGTTTTTTTTTAAAAAAAGAGTACCTGTGAAGTTGATCTTCATGGTGGAATAAAAAGAACCAGAGTCAGAAGCAACAAAATTTGTCAGTTGTACCATTTATGAATTGTGCCACACTAGGTAAGTTATTTAACCTGGTTCTCAGTTTTATCATTTGAACCTACCTCACAGAGTAGCCGTTGTTGATACTGAACCAGAAAATTTTACATGAAGATGCAGCAATGATGACGATGAAGGTAAAATATTGAATATAACACACACTAATAATGCCAGATAGTCAACTAAAATGCTTTGTGTACTATCCCATCTAACTCTAACACCAATTCTATGATGCAGCTCCTAGTCTTACGCCATTTTCCAAAGATACTGACAAAATGGGTAAGTGATCCACCCAAGCTAATATAACTACAGATACAGGAGACAGCACTTCAGTTCTTGATGTCAATCATGGTGTGGATAATGCCTCCAAACACCTCCACAGTGAAGTGTAACATAAGACCTGAGGCACCATAAATTGGAGGGGAGAGGGGTGTGCTCTTCTTATGGCTCCTAGATCAACTATACTGTAAGGCGGCAAGGTGCAGCAACCCATAGCACCCATTCCTGCCCAAACCAGAAGCTCCAGAAGGTTCCCAGAGCTGTCTTTATTAGGAAAAGTCTTCAGCCATCTGCAAGGGCACTTAAGGCTTTTTAATTACAAGTCTCATATGCTCACATACTATTTGTTCAAATAGGTCAAAGTAAAATTGTAATTTTTTTCTCTGTAAAATCTCCTACTTCCTTTTCATACACACAAATAAATAAGCCTAAAGAAAGCTAGCTGCCACCAAAGATCTCCCATTCCCTGTGGCCACCAGGCCATGAGAAGGCCAATCAAGCCAAGTAGAAAGGGCACCTGTAGTCACACAGATCTCCAGGACTGGTGCCACAGTGGAAAGATGCCCCTTTGGACCATTTACCTTCCCAAAGTCCTGGCTGAGACCACAGGAGGCAGGAGCGCCACTCAGTCAATCCACAGAATGGTAAGAAAAAATAAAAAGCTCTTGCTTTGAAGCCACTGAGTTGGGGTTGTGCAGATAACCGAAACAGCTAGAAATAGCTTTTCCAGCTAGGCCAAGTATCAAATCTATAAACGAGGCACCTTGACTGCAGCTCAACTTAACACATAACGGAAACAGTTCATTGCTTCAATTTAACGATGTGCACTGGCTGGAACATTTTGCTCCACAACTGGGTCTACACTGTACCTGGCTTCAGAATGTTAAACACCTGTCAGTAAGGATCATATTAATAATAATGGTGTCTATCTACTGAGTGTTCATGATGCCCAAGGTTCATCTTATAGCCTTTATTCATTAATGTAATTATCACAAAGTTCCTTGAAGTGTGCTGTTATGCCCATTTTACACACGAGGTCACTGAGGCGTAGAATGATTACTAGTAAACAGTGACACAAGATTTCACACCCTGGTCATCTAAATCCAGAACCAGGACACTTAACCACTGCCTTCTCTTGCCCCTCTCTTAAAAGAGATAATGTAAAAGGTTTAACAGTACCTTGTCCATGGTAAGATTTCAGTGAACACTAACTCTTGCCATTAGGAAACTTGCAGATGGGGAAGAAAAGATGAGAGGAAGTACCACACTTGACTGGGACGCAGGAAGCCCCAAATAACTGCTAGCTATTTTGGTAGTACATGTAGGCCTTCTTCACCAACAAAAAAACCCTAGGTTTGGTAATTTTCTGTGACACCTCTGGTCTCCCCATGACCTGCAGGCCCCCTGCGTGGGGTGACTGTTTCTAATTCATCTTTTTAAGTCCAGAACCTCACACTGGCCCGGGACAAGTAGGTGCTCATTGCTGAACAGAAAGGAACTGCTTCATTCACCACAAATAGGCACTGGCACTCCCAGGATGACATCTCCCCTAGCTACCTGTAAAACGACTCCAAGGAAAGGGGAAGAATCCCACCCAAGAAACGAGGGGGCCAGTGGGCTCATGGGATAGGAGACTGAGCTGGCTTTGGGAAGTCCAAGCAGTCTGGGGCCAGCCACACGGAGAAGCGGACCTCTCAAGCGGCCCTGCACCCGCCAAAGTCCTAGGGAGGTGGGCGAGCCCCGAGGCTGGGAGCCGCCCTCCTCGGAGGTGGGCCACGCCTCCTCTCGCTGGAGAGCGCCCGACCCAGGACTCGGGAAGGAGAAAGTGACAGGAAGTCAAAGTTTCCCAAGAGCAACCGAAGTCCTAACTCCCAAGGGAGAGCTCCGCAGCTCGGCGCGCAGTGAGGAAGGACCACCACCAGCCAGAGCAGGCAGGGGGTCCGGCCGTCGGGGTTCTACCTCGAGGGCACGCCCCGTGGCTCCCCTTCGCGCACCCCCAATTCTGTGAGAGGGGCCGGGGAGGGGCGGGGTCGCCCCAACTGTTACTTACAGTCGTCTAAGTCATCCTGCAAGTCCACAAAGTACAGAGGAATCTCTGGAAACCAAAAGACACACAAGAGTTATGGGGGGTCTGCGGCGGGCTGAGGTCCCCGGCTTCCCCAGCGTCCCGGGAAGGAGGAAGGGGAGGGGGGCCGCCTGCTGCCCCCACAGCCTAGCCCCACTCACCCGCCATCTTGGGATGGGCTTGGAGGCAGGGGGCGGGCCTTTGGGGGGCGTGGCTTTCTGGGCGGGGCGGGGAGCTCCTGGCCCCGCCCCTGGCGCCAGCCCC